GGGTGTCTTTTCCAACAAATTAAAAATGGCTCGCGCACAAAATTTAAAAGCTGTAATCATATTTTGAGTTAACAGATTGAAAATTTGTCGGGTTTTTAATTCCTTTACGAAATTTCAGATAATTTGATTTAGTTTAAAGGCACAGTTCATCCTTTTGAACGATGGTTTTTAAGGCACATTTCAGCCCTTTTAATTTTAAAAACTAACTAGGAAAATCAATTAAGTATAATTCAAAATCAGTAAACTCGATGTTTTTAACAATAAAAATGTTTTAAAATGTTAAAAACATTGAGTTTGGTGATCTTGAATTATGCTTAATTGATTTTCCTAGTTAGTTTTTTCAATTAAAAGAGCTGAATTGCGCCTTAAAAACCATCGTTCAACAGGCTGAACTGTGCCTTTAAGCCCTTTCACTATTCATTTTGTTCTAAAAAGTCAGCCTTTCGCATGCTTAATTAATGCCTTTACCTAATTTGCATATTGCTGACATATGCAAATTAGGCAAATGCATTAATTAAGCATGCAAATAGCTGATTTTTCGGGAAAATTGTAACTTTGCGTGAATAGTTAAGGGCTTAAACTAAACCAAATTGTCTGAAATTTTGTACAGTAATTAAAATCCCGACAAATTTTCCATCTGTTAACTCAAAATATGATTGCAGCTTTTAAATTTTGTGCGCGAGCCATTTTTAGTTTGTTGGAAAAACACACCCCCTGGTTCACAAAATTTGAGTTCGAGAAATTTTTCTCATTATTCTACATTATAAGTACCCAAAGAGGCTATATATATAAAAAACCGGATACAAATAGCTGTTTTGCGAAATTGAGAGCAATTTTAAATCTGTTCAGTTTTTTTTTGATACACCCTGTATATAGCATCATTTGCGCAAAATATTCACCATGTGTGCGAACATATTATTAATTTGTACTTCATGCACTATAATCTATATACCTGAATTATTTGCCTTGCGTCTGTTAGTTGTACTTTAGCCAGGGAAACAATTCTAGCCATGTAAATTGTATAAACAGTTTCTTCCTTCAGCATTCTTTTCATTTTACGAGGTTTTGTCAATGAAAATAAAATATAGCACGAATCTTCAAAAAGGGCTCAATCAAAACAGTAGGTTCGCAGATGCGTGAAAACCCGCGGTCAATGTTTACGGATAAAATTCACTAACTTTCTTTCACTCTGTGGATCTGTTTCTTTGTTGGGAAATAGATGCATGGGTATTCCTTCAGGCTGTTCAGAATTCGCGCAATAATCTAAGTTAGAACTGCCAGAAACACGGCCTTTGTCTCCGCGTTTGTTGGTTTTACTATAATTTTAATACACCATGATGGAATCGTGTTCATCTTATGACGTCACATGGCATCAACATGGCCGATCAAAAGTTCGCACAGGAAGTGCCAAAAATGGCCACTTTGGAAGGCTATAAAATCGGTTTGAATTGACCAATTTCAGTTCTGTTTGTAGTAAACAGATCAGGGAGGAACGCACTTTTAATGGGGTCGAAAAATGCGTTGCAGTAGCACTTTAAACCATTCGCTGTCATCGTATATGGCTGATAGCTATCAGCTCATATACGACTCGAGCTCATGGTATAATTAATTATAATTAACAACTATGCGCCGAAGGCGAAGTGATATTACCGGTGAATATTCACCAAGACGAAGTCCAGGTGAATATTCACCATAATCACTGAGCCTGAGGCGAATAATTGTTTTAGTATAAATTTTTAATGAATAAAACAAAATATCCAAAAATCAGCACGGTTACTGTCACTGATAGTGTTGCAGTGTTTCTTGTTCGCACAGACTACTAGTCACTGATAGTGTTGCAGTGATAGTGTTGCAGTGTCACTGATAGTGTTGCATGCAGTGTTTCTTGTTCGCACACGCTCTCAAAATGGCTTCTTGTGTGAATTTATTGCTTTATTACAAAGTTGTTTTTCTCGATTTCTGGTTAGAATATAATCACACCAGACTTAATAGTTTCTGTTTAGCATTTATTTTTTCAGAAAATGGCTGAGAAATTTGGTAAAACGAAATGTAAAACTATATCGTTCGAAATAAAGTTTTAATAACACTTTTCACTTCACAAGTTTGGAAAACACAATACAGCGGTCAGAACGCCATATAAAACAATGAAAACATGACATAACAAAAGAGGTAGTATGGTACAAATTGAGAAATCTATGGGATACAAAACAAAATGGGTTCAAAAGAATATCTCGGCAAGGTTTTTGCCAACAGTCAGGATAGTTTTTGCTATTTTGTTTGAAGTAAATGTTCCGGAGTTTTAAATAAGTTTTAAATTGTCCATGAATATGTTTGAGACAGTAAAATAATAAAGAAATCCTACTTTCAAGTTAAATACAACATTTTGTGTTTCTTTCGTTTTCTGGGGACAATTTTTTCAATCTTATGTCGATTTTGAAACCAAATTTGCCGAATCATTCTCTTTGAAAAGCATTATTTACTAGTCTGCTAGTAAATAATGCGTCAGATTTACTAGTCAACCAGCCAATCAGAACGTGCAAAAGCTTAATTGATATGCAAAATTTATACTAATATTATTCGAGTGTAATTTGTAACAACGTTCGAACGACAAGTGCAATTTGCCGTCTTTGAAAAACTTACCAGCGTACGTTTTTCCAAATTGCACGAGAAACCATACTATTCCTTGTTAATATACATGAAAAGCTTACACGCTTACCTATGCATTCATCTACGCCATTTAAGCATTGTTTTTATTGTTTGTTAGCAAAACTTTTTAGTCTATGTGCTCCTTGTACTTAAATTGCTACATTCGCAAACGATTTTCCATTGAGCGTGTGCAAAAAGTCGTCAAGAAGTGAAAATTTACATTGCTACTATCTGCCGCCATGTTGATTTTTTCTGCCTCGCTTCCAATTATATACTTGCACTGCATTAATTGATGATTCCAGCTACAGACTACATTTTGATCTAGCACAGCCAGAAAGAGTATGTTAAAATTAGTAAAATTGCAAAATTTGCAAATTTGCAAATTGTGTATTAATTTGTATTACGCACGGGAATTTGCACCACATTCGGTCCAAATGTGGTGCATTTTCCCGCGCGTAATACAAATTAATATAAAATTTGCAAATTTCGCAGCGCTATACTTTCCAAATTTTACATCATTTCGCAGCCAAACTTTGCAATTTTACTAATTCTAACATGCTCTTTCTAGATTTTGTGCTCCTTTTTGATCCGATAATTGCCCCTAGATCAAAATTTAGCATATAGCTGGAATTGCCCATTGCACAGTGTGCTGTTTCAAAAATAATTGCACTGCTCTTAGCCAATCAGAATTGAGTAACTTTTTCAACTATGATATTATATATATTATAAATTATATTACAAGGCCGTAATGAAAAAAAGATCTTGCCAAGGCCTCGAAAAAAGGTTCGAGATTGAGAATAATGTTTTCATTTCTTCCTTGATGAAAAATTAGATTTCTAAGAATTCCACTGTTGCGAACTATACTCAAGAATATGGCAGCAACGAATTTTTCTCACTTTGTTTCCTGTACAAGCGTTATGTTTGATGTTCAAGCGGTTTTTCTCATTTCCAACCATCTGATTAATATACAGTCTTCATATTTACTTTGTCAAAAAGCTTTTCTTTTACTTTTTTACAATTGTAATGTCTATAATTGTATTTGTTTATAACGTTTTCAGAGTACTGTTATTAACCCATTATGTCGCGTTGCACCGCAATGCGCCCACTTCATTACTTTTCTCTGTCTAATGCGAGGCGATTTTACTTGGCACTCAATGGTTAAAACAACCAACCATATCGTTAAAAGAAAAAAGTTTACCTTTCATTTGTAGTCGTATTACTCAAAAATGTTTCCTCGTCATTTACAGCCTGGCATTCTGGACCAAACACATATGTAACTAGATCTGATAAGTGTGGGTCTTTCTTAGCTCTTTCACACAACATCGTAACAGTTTCTTCATTATAATCATCAGAGGCAACCCAGGCAACAAGCTCGTCTTCTGTTGCACGCCGACCGCAATGTTGTAAAGCAGCTAGTAAATATTCTTCAGTATAATTCATGGACATGCCCTCAAGAGTCTCTTTTGCACTAGTAAATGTTTCAAGAGCATTCTTCCGTCTTCGCACGATTGGCTCTATCACATCCATTTCCTCTTCGACATTTTCTATCAGAATTTTCTTTCCTTCTGTGTTGCTTGCAAAATATTTTTGTTCATCTTTAAACCCTTCCTCTGTCAAAAATATCAAGTTCTCAGGTATCGTTGTTGTTAAAACATCTGCAAGAAGCCGAGGATCAATAGTCTTGTTAACAGCTTCTAGGAGCATAAACGTCTGTAATGGTAGTTTGTCGATCGCCACCTGGCCATTGCAAGCTTTTGCTAAGTCTTTTCTCAATTTCAAAATCTGTTTCATTGTAAAATGGTTCAAGGAATAGCACTTGCGTCTTTTACCATTTATGTTTTTCTTCCATTGCTTCAACTCGTTTTCCATTGTTTCACAGGTTTCATCAATGTTCTTTAACAACTCTTCTCTATAGCTTTCATTTTTACTGCATTGAAATTTTGTTTTCCATGTTAGGTAGTTGATTTCACCAACTTCACAAAGTTGCAAGTATAACTGACTTACTCTGAGTATTCCTTCAAAAACCTGAAATATTACAAACATCAGAATGATCGATTTGTACCATTACAGTTAAATGGTCATAATTACTCATGATTTGCTTCATGTTCCTTTCAGCAATAAAAAGTTGACCATTTTTGAATAAACTTTTTTAGGGTGCATAATTGCTATTCAGATAATTCGAATGAAACATTATTTTTACATTAACGTTACAAAAATGTGGAAAATGTTGATGGAAACAATGAGGATATAATCTATGCAATCGTTCGACTTCAAGCTAGCTAATTTAAGAAACATTGGCAAACTCCAGTTTCCATTTAATAAATTCGGTTATTTTTTTAGCCAATTTAAATTCTCTGTGCAAGTTTACTTTTAAGTGGGAAAACCAACGTTTTTAGAGTTAATGACATGGAACTATAAAACATCGGCCATAATAAAACATTGTAATTGTTATAATAGCAACAAGAACAGCCAAGAGCTCGAGAAAGCTAAGAAATTCAGGACTCATAAACAGTTTAATGCAGTTTTATGCAAGTTTTATGTGTTCCATGGCCGCTGTGTCCCGTTATCGTCCACTTTCATTTAGCATGTATTGGATCTGAAATATTTTACGGGAACTAACACTTTAAAGCACGCTGAGTGCAAATCCGAAAAGTTGCCGCTCCGTAGACCCGCAGTTTTCTCACAAACTGCTATTTTATCTTAACTGATTTCACGACAAATTTTTTAATTGTTCAACGACACGAATCGATGACGACACACGATTATGTCACTCCATCGAAAGGACCAATTTCTGTTAATCAGTCTTCCTTTTAACAAAAAACCGTTTTACTGGAATCATTTTGAGTTATGTAATCTTATGCGTGTTGGACGTAAACAACATATCTTGTCTACAACTTTGAGAAGATACAGATAACGTTTTCTAAAATTCTCAGTTCTAGAGATATCTCTATAAAATCACAAGGAAATCACTGGCCTGAAAAATAACTCTTTCAACGCGATCAAGGTATTTAAAACAAAAGTAACGCGAAGCCAACGAAACGGCAAAGACAACACTAAAATGAAATATTGTCGATGGGTTATTTGCTGGTAAAAGACGTAAACTGTGTCATAAACTGTGTTAGAAATTCAAATGCTGATCCAGTACATAAGATTACCGTTTGTATAAAACATTTCGATCGCATGTAAGGAATTATTTCTCAGCCCCAGAGACATACATAGCCCAAAGACTCAACATTAACGTCCTTGTAATTTTGAAAACTAAGGATTTTGGAAAAAGTTATCCGTACTTTTTCAAAGTTGTAGAAAAGATATGTTGTTTACTTCCAACACGCATGCATAAGATTAAATAACTCCAAATGATTGAGCAAAACCGGTCTTTTGTAAAAAGGAAGATTTGTTAATAGAAATTGGTCCTTTTGAGTGACATAATCGTGTATCCTCATTGATCCGTGTCGTTGAACAATGAAAAAACTTGCCGTGAAATTAATGAAGATAAAATAGCAGTTTGTGAGAAAACTGCGGGTCTACGGAGCGGGTACTTTTCGGATTTCAACTCAGCGTGTTCGAAAATGTTAGTTCCCGTAAAAATATTTCAGATCCAAGTCATGCTCAATGAAAATCGTTTTCTAGGCACTTTTGGAGGTCACAACACACAGACTACATGGCGATTTTTAAAGATCTTATTAGTAGACATCGAAAGTTATATACAAGAGATAAATTTTGATGATTATTACAATTTGTCTAGCAAAATCAATGTTATGGCTGTTTAAAGTATAAAAGGCTCTCAAACGTTTTAATATTTAGCACAACTGGTGCATAATCTTAATTGTTAATTTGGTGAATCAGATGCCATTTTAAACAGCCATATTATTGGTTCTACTAAACCAAAATTATCTCTTAGATTGAATTTTCGAAGCTCACTGTAATCAACAAAGATACAGTATACACCCTGTTTTTTAACTTCTATATTTTTCGCAATCATCTGTATAATACAAACCTGGTTAAACCGGTCAACCTCCTCCTTTCCATTTTCTGCTTTCCCAGCAATCAACATCAATTTACTTTGAACATCCTTTACTTCTTCCAAGCTATAAATCTTTTCGTCTCTATTCTTAATTTGGTCTTTGGGAACAACTAGGGATACTAAATTCTCAAGGCACAATTTAACGCCATTGTCTACATGTTTATTTTCTTTAGTTTTTTCACTATCTGCAATGTAGTAAATACCAGAGGAATTGATTGCTTCAACTTGAACCATAGTTGTGAGAGCAACAGAACCATGTGACTCTTTAATTTGCTTCAACCATGACAGGCCTCGCTTAGTCAACATCTTAAATGAAAATGCAATGTTAGTAAATATGTAATTATTATAATTATTCCATTGCAACAATTATGCAAGTGATTTAATTTTCCGCTGAGCAAACAATATTCTCCACCATTCTCAAGGGGAACATTGAATTTCTGTCAACTGAGGACAAAAACTAAGAACATCAACACCTAATCTAAAATAATGTAAAACTATCACTTGGTACTTTTTCTGAATTTTCGCTGACTGCATGTTCCTCGTCTGCATAAATGTTGTTATTGGCACAATAATGGAAGTTAACAGAGAATTAAGAGGCGCTAGCTAACGTCACTTGGTCCCTACAGGATCATTTGAATATGTAGATTGTTCAACACATGAATATATTAAGTAAAACAACGTGGGTCTGGCATCATTCGCATAGTGTTTTTTTCCCGAAGTTAGTTTCAGTGTAATTCTTTGAAAATTTCAAAAGGAAATGCCCGAATAAGTTAACTAGCTACCTACTACATTCACGAGCATTCCTGTAGTTCAATCACTAAGTCAACAGTGTCTACTCCAGCTGTGATTTCCTCTGCAGTTCGGGGTTCTTGTCGCGTGCATCGCGTTCGCTAGAGTCGCCTGCCTCGCACTATTTGGCCGTGGTGTCTTCGTCGTCAGTCTCGAGTCCGCCTTCCTTTCCTCAGAATGTTATGGCACCACACTTGTGGATTCCAAAATATTTATAACCTATTTTACACCTATTTTTTCTCTATTTAGCCGTATTTTTTTCCATATTTTTTCAAATATATGACTATTTTATTACAATTTTAATGGTAATTTTTACGAATACAAATTATTGTTAATGGACGATACTCAATGCGCTAGACAAAAAAATTATAGATTAAAAATGTCTATGTTAAGCCAACTCGAAAGCTACTATTGTCTAAACAAAGGAAGACTCTATCACAGACTTTCATTATTTGCTTGCCAAACCCGTAGGCTACTGCACCCAGTATCGTTTATTAATTATTGTCCAAACCACTATATGTTTGACCTATTCATAACTATAACAATGAAACTATAGTTAAACATGGGCAGATATCCGAGTTAGCTTTATCCGCCTATATCATTCTTACTTGGATTGCGAGCTGTAAAGACTGATTTAAAGAGTCACCCACCAACCACCCCATGCTCCAGCCTTTTCCCTGATGTAACGAGATGGTACAAGATGGTACTTGGAAGTAGTTACGGTATGTTATTGGCCAGCCTATGGAGTGATATTGAATTCTCGGGAACATTGAACTATATTTAGATCTATATATAAATATTATCTTCGTTGGATATTAAAAGCTTATAAACATTCACTAGACTGTTATATCAATGTTATTATCTATTTAATAAAATAATAAATAAAGAATGAAGTGTTTGAGGCAATTGCTCTAGTATGAGGTCGCAATTTTACCATAGACCTCACGTTTTCTTTACGGAATTTGGCAACCTGGCAGACACAAACAGCCAATTCCCATTTACAAGAATCACTCTATTTCTGCATATGAGTATATGTGCTGAGCCAGATCAGTGTTCTAAGAAATATTTCCCTGATAATTTTTTTCCCACGGCCCAGCTCAGAGTATGTCTTGCAGGGCAGGCTAGGACCCAGCTCTAAATGGAGTATATGTTCTAGCCAACTCAGGACCGAGCTCAAAATCCGCGCGGTAAAAGTACATGTCTTGGGCAGATTAGGACCCAGCTGCAAATCAGTATATGTCCTAATCGACTTTCCCCAAGATCCAGCTTTTCAATACGAGTATATGCCCTGGGAACCGCTCAGCACCCAGCTCTTCGCAGTTAAAAAATACAGTATATAGAGCAGTTGTCCCACACTTCCATAACCCCACAAACCTTGTTTTCTTATGCGTGTCGTTATATTAAATATCTCAATATATATATATATTTAAAAAACACAAAGAAAAATCATAAGCGTGTCGTGGTTTTATATGTGATAAAAAATCATGTTAATTTACATAAATTTTAGCTTTGATTTTCTCGGTTTAGACAAGGTTTATTTTAAAAATTACTTCGCCAATAAACTCGTATAACGTTTTTTAAGCCATTTGAAGCACTTGGGTCGTATTTTGTCACGTATAAGGCACTCCGCTACGCGTCGTGTTTTGTGTGTGATGGAGCGCTCCTGCGCGTGCTTTATATAGTACTTATATATTAAAAGGTGAGGACATTAATTACTTTTTTATAGCTTTTAAATAGCTATTTAATTCCTATTGATGACAAATGAGTCAGTTAAAATAGTTTTAAGTAGCTATTTTTAAACTATTTTTGCTTCTCTTCTTTGTAGCCATTCTTAAAATAGTTATTAAATAGCAAAATAAATAGATCTTAAAGGCACAGTTCAGCCTGTTGAACGATGGTTTTTAAGGCGCATTTCAGCCCTGTTAATTGAAAAAACTAACTAGGAAAATCAATTAAGCATAATTCATATTGTTAAAAACATCGAGTTTACTGATTTTGAATTATGCTTAATTGATTTTCCTAGTTAGTTTTTTCAATTAACAGGGCTGAAATGTGCCTTAAAAACCATCGCTCAACAGGCTGAACTGTGCCTTTAAATAGCTATTTAATTCCTATTCATAGAAAGTTCGTTCAAAATAGCTATAAAATAGCTGTTTTTAAACTATGTTTGCTTTTATTTTTAGAGATATTGTTAAAATAGTTATTATTAAAAATAGGAAAATAAATAAATTTTAAATAGCTATTTAATTCCTATTCATAGAAAGTTGTGGCCAGACTTTGTTCAAAATAGCTAGCAAATAGCTATTTTTAAACTATGTTTGCTTTTATTCTTAGAGCTATTTTTAAAATAGTTATTAAATAGCAAAATAAAAAGATTTAAATAGCTATTTAATTCCTAATCATACAAAGTTGTGGCGAACGTTGTTTAAAATAGCTATTAAATAGCTATTTTAAACTATGTTTACTTTTATTTTTAGAGCTATAATTGTTAAAATAGCTAATAAATAGCAAAAGAATTAGATCTTAAATAGCTATATTTATTTCCTATTCATAGAAAGTTGTGAGATTTGAGAAACGGTAAATGTATTTATTTAACTGGTCAAAATTGCCCAGTTAATTTTAAATTTTTCATGAGTTCATTGAAATTATATTTATAAAAATAGTTATAGTCTTTGTGGAGGTAGGTATTTTGTCATTTTGACAAAAAACCACGGTTGGTCAGACTGGTGCCTAGTTTTCCTACAACACGCCAATCTCGAAACCAGAGCCTGCAATCCTCTGAGGAGGCTTGCTGAGGCTCTGGGAAACACCAGCGAAAGTCGGGCTCTGATTGGTTGTTTTTCAAGTGCTAATTATAATTCAAACTGTGAGCCGTATTTAGTGATTCAAATTTCAAACATCGTTTAAAATTAATATAAAGTGTATTTCTCTTTGTGTATTATGTTTAAACATATCAATGAAACATACAGCATAACTTTAATGAACTTATTAATCTTCCCTAGCTTCTCATATGAAATCAATAGACTATTCAGATATTGATATGCCAATAACAAAATGTACAATAACAACAATGCAGCATTACCATATAAGATCATGATAAGCCGTTGTCTATATAATATTTAAAATAACACAACAATCCATGATTTACCGTAATTAAACAAGTTAAAATAAATCACTACCAGTATCTTACAACAATTCAAAACCATGGCAAGTGTTCTTTGAAGAATTAAAGTCGTAATAAGCTTAAACAACGGCAGTAATGTCTATTTATAAATGTCGAGCGGAGTACTGGATCCAAATGTACTGATTTTCGTGCAAAAGTCGCCAGTGTTTCCCAGAGCCTCAGCAACCCTCCACAGAGGATTGCGGGCTCTGGTTTCGAGATTGACAACACGCGCAAAGCTTCCTGGGATAGCGTCACAAACTCACAATTCACACCGCCATATTTTTAAATTTTTTGTTTTGAATTTTGGGCTCGACATACAGAGCTTTTATTTAATTATTACCGAAGATGATGTCTTTTAACGAAGATTAAACATCAGGGATGACTGGGTAACATCCAGGTAAGAATTGTGTTATGTTTTATATATAAATAGAGCTATTTTAAACGGAAATATTCACTATCTTCATTCGTGAATTTTGAGCATGTGTTCCGGCTTAAAATTTCAATTTGCTGCGACAATATTTGAACTAAAACGATGCATATGATATAAATACATTAGTTTTATAGAAAGGCTTACATTTGACTGAGCCTTTATATTAAATGTTGTTTATTGTAATGCCAGATAGTAGGCCTATACTTTGACCTTTGGCTTTGTGTATTAGTGTATATGACAGATTGTCAGATTCCAATGTTTCTTGACATATAAAATAATATAGCTTGGTATCTACTCAATTCTCATATGCCTACCCAAGCATGTCCTAGCTAAACATGGTTTGAGAAAAGTTATCGACTGGTTTCAAAACAACTGGTACTTTCATAAGTTTCTAATATTTATTCATATATAGGTGGGTCAGTTTAGAATAGATAAAAATATCAATTTGATTTGTTGTTGTCATGTGTGGCAACTTGATTATAGACGTGTCCCTAACTGGAAACAGTTAAAGTCCTTAGTGTACTGGTTCAAACTTATGAATACATTTAGTTACACCACAGGTCTTCATGATCTGCTTAATTATATATGTAACAACCTTTGGGCTACGTTTTATATATTTTAGAGACACCCCGCCAAGGGTTTGATTGTTTTTGGAATAACCCATTTCACTCCAATGAGCCCAATTTTAAGCATTTTGTTATTAAATGTTATCTTGCCTAATGCCGAGCAATTTTATTCGTCAAGGGAAGTGTCTAGCTAGAGTGCTAGACTCTGCCCATGTTTCATGTTGATGTTCCATGTTTCATGTTTCATGTTAGATCAATGTTCCATGTTTCATGTTAGATCAATTAGATGCAATTTTCCTAACACTTCCTACTTAAGTACTTTGATACTAGAAATACATGCATGCAATAACCCCTCG